CGCGGAGAACTTTTCTCATCGGTCTTGCAGACTTACCTCGCGGCAAAAAGGGAGGCAGAGGCAAAGAAAGAAAGAGCAAGAGAAAGGAATGGCGCTTTGTCGCGTCGGCGAGGGAAAAGAACGATGAGATTTTACTTATCTCTGGTGCAAAGGTGCTCCGAGATCTTCTCTTTTTCCCATTATCTTTATAAGCAAAAACTGCTGCAGTGACAATGCGTCGGGATAACATTTCCATGCGTGTATACGTGATTTAATCACAACGAAACGGCTGCATTCGGAACGTGACATAGTTAAGTCCGTGCAGTCTGTTAAATCACGAAGCTTTACAAATTGCGATCCTCGGTTTTGAAACATAGGTCGTTTCTTTTTTTCTTTTTTTTTTTTTTTTTGAATATTTCTCCTCTACTATACGAAATATATTTATGGCTCGTTTGTTCTGTCTCTTGTATTTTTTAATGTAAAGCACTTTAGAATAAAAGAATTTAGTTAATACATATCGTTTTTGGCATAAATTAGATTTCTGTCGCTTATTTGTACATCTCAGGCTGCGAAATATAGATCATAATTAGATTTCTCTTCTCTGTATAAATTTCAAATTATTCCAACAAGAACATAGTTTAGAACATTCGTATTTAAATGTGGCTTGGTACGATGCGCCAAAAAGTGATTCCTAATCCCTATTTCAAAATGCAGCAAATTCAATGTATCGCGCCCAATATCTTTTTTCATTTTATTAATTTTTTTAATATCTTTTTTTTTATTAATATCTAAAAACTTTTAGAAATAATTTTTTATTAATATCTAAAAAATTAATAAAGACGCGAAAATTTTATATTTCAGAGTCCTCTGGTCCTGCAAATTTCATTTCATTCTGATAAAATAGGTCACATCATATCTATCGCAGCCTATATTTTTGATCAAAATATTTCACTTGTCAACGATGCTCGTTTCAATCAATCGAAGGGACGTAATTTGCAAATGTACGGAAATGTCAGACAGAAATTTGGATAGCTAAAAAAAGAGCACTTACCTGACTGATGTGCACAGTCAGAAGAACAGCGGCAGAAACTAGCGCGCTAGAACTCGAGAGACCAGAATTAGGAGGAATGTTACCCCAAATTGCAGCCAAGATTCCCGAAGGTACGCATTCCTCGGGGATCGCTTCAAGAGCTCCTTTCACGCCACAGAGGAAATATTTGTACCAGTCTGGACCACTACTGGCGTCCCTGATGCAAACACTGCGCAGAATATGTGAATTTATTTCTGTCTTTTCGCGGCTACACGTCATAACTTCATCCATTTCAAGATATATTCTTTCCTTCGTCGAATTAGATAAAAGCTTCTGAAGTTCTTCTTTCACTATCGTCAATGATAAAAATTTTATACAAAACTGCAAATGAAATATGTTTGTAGTAAAATATTATTACTTAAATATTATTATTAAATATTATTAAATATTTATTTTATTTAAGTAATAATACTTCATACTGGACTTTTTAATGTTCACCTTCATTATAATAATTCTTTAATATTTAGAGATACAATGTAAATATTTGTCCAGTATTGTATTAGAATATGATCGTATTAGACAATTGATTGTATTTGATGTATAATTATGTATAAATCGTATAACATATATATATGTGTGTGTGTGAATCACAGAAATAATTTTCTTAAATTATTTGTCTCTTGAATCACGGAAAAGACTTTATGTCAATAAAAAAAAAATAATTCGTCATAATAATTCTTTAATATTTAGAGATACAATGTAAATATTTGTCCAGTATTTGCAATGCCAGATTGTATTAGAATATGACCGTATTAGACAATTGATTGTATTTGACGTATAATTATGTATAAATCGTATAACATATATATATGTGTGTGTGTGTGTGAATCACAGAAATAATTTTCTTAAATTATTTGTCTCTTGATTCACGGAAAGGATTTTATGTCAATATGATTTTGTCACCATTTTCAAATAATATGTTATTTTCTCTTACAACTGAGTCTGCTGTTATTTTGTTGAGAAATATCAAGCCCATCATTAATGAGTTACAAGAGGCATAATTTGTTCAAACAATTGCATTTTTTTGGAACCAGAAAAACAGCTGCAGATAACCGGTTCTTGCGTGATAAATGACAGTCTAGACAGGTATTATTCTGATCCCTTTCAACTGATTTATGGAACTAGTTACGTTCCACAAATATTTCTGTTTTGTATGCAAATGCATTCGTTTAGAAATAAATCGATCATACGAATGTCAAAAAAAAAAAAAAAAATGTGATCATTTCTACTTTTCAATCCCGTAGATAAAATCATTGATCGTTTTACACCTTGTCGAGCATTTCCTGTAATGTAATAATCATCTTAAATTAAGCTAAATTTCAGCTAAAGCCATAAATTAATTTCTCCGAGGATTTTTATTCGAGTATTGCTTCACTGTTTTATTTTTATCTGTTCGTATCACATCACGTCAAATCTGTTTTAATCGCGTTCTGTTAAATAATAATTTCGCGGATTAATTGACAAGCGAAGAGACGTTCCGCAAGCATGTTTAATGGCCGCGATTACGCGGCAATTCCTTCGGGGACAAACGGGGATTTTCAATCGTCGTTGTTGAACACGATGCAGCTAATGAAATTACTTGGGCCAACTTTATTCTTCTATCTTTCATTTTTACTGCCACCTCTTTAATCCAAACGCGGCTACCTTTACTACAGCTGTGCCACCTTTCTGGCAAATTAATTCCACGTCAGGGCCGAATGCCATTTATTTTTGTCCCTGCGAGAAGCGGATCGCGGAAAACGGCGAAATTGCATTCCGATGCTATGTACGGAATTTTGTATTATACCGTGGCCATGAACGACACGAAAACTCGCGAAACAACAGCGGGACGCGAACGTAATCAAAGTATCAATTTGAACTTGCTCTCTTTGTTTTTTAGAAAACTGTCTTTAGCGACTGGTTTCTAAAATGGTAATGATAGGTACAGTAATCGATTTGAATGGAAATTTCCTAGAACTATTTGGTATGTACTTTTATGTATATTCTTAGTCAGTTGTATTCTTTAGGCGTCCACGTTAAATGAAAGACTCAAGGGAAAAGGTGATAAATTTGCAACTCGATCCTAGATCTTGTTCCCGCAAGTGGAATACAGCACAACACTCCAATTACTTACACCCTTGAAAGCTTGAGATGTATTAAGTTTATCTTTCGTAATAGAGGTTTGCGATATTTCTTGTCAGTGGACCCATGTGCATACAAATTGCACTTCGAGATTACCACCTTGCAATATGTTAAGTTGTTTGCTTGCAATATGCTAAGTTTGTTTGCTCTCATTCAAAATTAACGAGAAACTGAGGAAATTTATTAGAATTTAGTTCCACAGGAATTTATTACGTTAGAATGTAATGAAATACAATCTCAAAAATTTAGATCATCAGCTAAAATTTCTTTTTTATATCGCTATTTTTACTCACCTAATGTCTTTCATATTGCACTGGAAATATTTATATTTAGGGTCTACATTTGTGAGACGGATGTCACTATTCTTCGACACCGCTACAGCAACCAGTATATCTTGTTCAATGGCCATCGGGCAAACAGCATATCCGCAGTAATCGATGTGCTCGCCAATTAAATTAACTCTGCGAATAGATGATCAAAATAACCGCAATTACTTAGAGAATTGAAAGCTCTATATTTCTATAATTATCTGTTGAAACGACAATGAAATATCTTTGTTCCATCGTTATTTAATTGTTCGGATGCAGTGACAGGTTTTTACAATTAACTTATGTATTAATTGTGAAATTTAAGAAAATGCAGTACCTTCCTGGTACTCTGACGAAAAACGAAGGTTCGACGTTATACGTCGACCGAAAGTGTTCAATTAAAATGTTCAGCCTTTTGAAAAGTTTTTCATCCGGTTGCAGGATTGGGACTTGCTCTTCCGGTTCCATGTTGCATCTTCCATTCATATCGTGCGACATGTCTGAAGCAAATATACACGTTTCTACAATACAAGTGACATTTTTTGTTATTTTTTTATTATTGAAATAGAAAAGAGAAAAAAATCAATTTCTTGCATCCGAAATTTAATGTGGAAAATTCACTGAAATGGATTCAGTGAAAATAGTAAACGAGGTCACCGCCATTAATATAATTACGCCATTAATATAATTATGCAGAGGATAGAAATTGATTAACTGAAATGATTCATTTTATCAAAGTTAAATTCACCAATTCATCATTGAACATGATCAGTAAATTTCAACTACAAGGTGGAAACCATTCATTTTTATAATTTTTCATACGTTAATTTTCGTAAAAAATTAATAACTTTCGCATTGATATTGCTAAAAATCGTAATTTGTTTTGAAATTTTTTTTAAATTTCAAATTCCACTACTAATTATGAATTACAGAACAGGATGATTTAAGAAAATAGATATACGTTACCAAACGAACACATCAACTCAATGAATCATAGGGAACTATTTTTATCGGTGCAATAAATTGCATAAACGTTTTTACTCATCCATGTACTCAACTATAAACGCAATAAACGATACTGCGAGCTGAATATTGCTATCTTCTCGTGGCAGTTTGATTATCTTCGATCAAATGTTTAATAAACGAACACTTATCTTTTACAAAAATGCAAACATATTACGAATGATATCATTTAGAAGAAATAATGTTCCGTTAAAACAAGCTGAAAAAAATTAAATTATTATGTAAAATGACGTCGATGTTTGAAAATTCTCAAGATTCTTCTTACCATGCCCAGACGAGCGTCTTTGATGTATGATATTTGACCCGTTGGGACAGTAAAAGATCTAATCGATGGAAGCACGGTACGTCGACAGTTAAATGATAAATTTGAAGCGAGAGATCGAGAGAATTCGGCTAACTTCGTACGTTCTCGTATGGCATAAGATTGTCGCGTGCACGACGCTATACTGATCTCTACGTTACAAATCTATAAAACTGATTGTGAGTTTTCAATTTTACAAATATCTGACAAACATTTAGCGTTTTACATTTAATGGGAAAATTATTTCCTTTTAAAAATCTACATTTAAGTAGTTAAGACTTTAACTGACGTTATCTCCCATCATTTTTTAGAAATGTTTTCGTGGTGCTCCCGCGCTACGTATTCGACGCACAAGTCTATTCTACTATCTCAGTAAACAAACCATTTCCTAAATTCAATCTGTAATCAAAAAAGTATTTTGCCAGTGTATAACCTGAACAACTACCACATTCCGGCATTTAGATGATCAACTATCAGTAAATTTTGGTTGTTATTAATTAATACGATGATACTAATTTTTTTTAAATATTCATTTAACTTTAACGACGAAATTGTTTAATAACTTGATCTTCACTATCGGTTTAACTCTGACTGAATCGTAGTAGTTTTTGTTTGTTCTACGAAAGGCACCACTATACAGTGTGCTGATCGAAACACGTATGGTAATGTAAAATAAAATAATTATTTTGTATAGATATAATATTTCATAAAATAATTATTACATAATGCTTTGAAAATTATTCTATATATTTTTTTCAAACGATGTAATTAATAATGTAAGGTTTGTACGATGCTTTATATATACATGTATATACTCTGCTTGTGTATGTTTGTAAATACCGGCTGCTGCCGCGTCAGCTTTTCACGCAACGGCGTTAACCGGATGATATAACGTGTTTCTATGACAGAATATCGAATAAAAGCAGCAGAAGTAATAGGAATAATAAGGTAGACGTACCTGTTATTATATTCACAAGTTTTAGTTCTTAAAATGGCGATTTGTCACGTTATCGTAGTTGTTTAACCATTGACCAACGATCTCGTCTGCGGTTTAACACGTTCAGTTTTCTACAACGCGCGTTTAGAGGACGCTATGTTAGGCGATTTATCGATCAGGAATAGTAGTTTGTACAAGGTACAACACGTCGCCACAAGTGACGCTACTAACACGTGGCGTGTGATTTCATGGCGGGTAATTCGAATCTGCTTTCAAATTAAATATAGTACTATTGACTAACTTGCACAGATCGGACATCTAATGTCCTTTTCGTGTCCCAGATTTTGGGAGGACACATGATCCGCTTACCATTTTCGTGTCACATCCTGTAATATCGACTTAGGCAAGTATTGTACCGCGGAAATCAAAAAATATATACAGCGTTGCCAGTTTATTTCGAGAATTATTTATTGTATTAAACGTGGTGGTATTTTATCAATATAGGAGGGAATATAATGATTTAAAACAAAGATTGATGAAAATTGGGTTGAAAAATTTAGCATATATTCGACTAATCGACTACAACATTCGTTTAAAAGCGTAAGAAAAAATTATTCGAATTATGATATTTTTACGAATAATATAATCAGATACAATGCTGTTTTATTTACAAATATGTAGATTCACAATTTGAATGAATTATCTTTATCTCGTAAACTCGATTTTATGTAAGTTCGAACTTATCGATAAAATATCTTTCTGCAAATATTGTTTACAATAAAGAAGCACATTATGTGTTGTAAATTATTTCTTGCGAAATTCATCCGTTTCAAAATTTCGAAGTTTATTTTACTTTTTTAAACGATACCATATATATTTTCTTTTTTACAGTATGATGTTATTTATTAGAACTCACCGAGTTGCATTTTCGACGGCCGAAATCATTTATTGTTATAAATTATTAATAAA